GCTCCAATTTTTTTACAGCAAGTCAAGCCACTGAATTTTAATCGTTAAAATGTGGCTGTGTTTCACTACAACCAGTAAGAAAGAAAAAGCTGCCAAACTGAAAGAAAACCGTAACTTTTTAAAACTCTCACTGTATTCCCCTTAATCCAATAAAAAAAGTAATGCGGATCATATAAATATACCTCGAATAATGTAGTTCCCTTGCAAAGCTGGGAATTTATCGAGGAACTTAAGCAGAGCGTAATAGACGTTAGAGAAGAGGCAGACCTCACTATGCAAGAAGTGATAAACCTGCAAGTAATTAAATGAAGAACTTTTCTTACAAGCTTATAAATGCAAAAAAATTTCTCTTTACGCAGAAAAGTTCTGAAGAAACCTGTCACTGATACGGTCGTCATCACTTTCGTTATTCGCTATACGTATTCGTTTAACACGACCCCAGCATTTAGAAACTGCTGCCTTGACGTATTTGCATGTAAGCATTAAGTTCAGCCGGTCCCCTACCTCCAGTATCGATGAACTGCATATCTCTATTAGAAAGGATTCGGGGAGCTTATCCAGCATCTACGTCAGTTTCCTGTAATTTCACTCGTTTAAGATGAAAAACCGAAGTATCAATAACTGGAACCGAATAAAAGTACATACGTAAGTAAATCAGCTGAAACCTGAAACACAAAGCAGTAACATCCAAAAGATAATGTACTGATTAAAGACACCCTATTAAGGAAAACGACACACAGGGAACCCAACAATACCTTATCTTTCACAGCAATAACAGTTGCCAAAATTACACGAAACATGAAACCTGTTCCAACGAACATGCTCACAACAACATCAATCTTACCCAAACTGCGAATATACCCACTTCAAGTATCCCACAAAGAATTAGACCCATTACCAATGCCACCCGACCCTCACTTATCGAATATACGTTTTACTGCTTCTGCAAGCTTATTACGATTTATGTTCCAATAAAACACCGACTACGGAGGAAATAAGCATTTATTTGCTCCAACAACGTCATCGATAACAATCGAGCAAAATACGTATTCGATGGAAAATATGAAATGAATTTTCAAAAATTAGTCAAACAGTCCAAAACCCATATCGTCGTCAGACTCCTCTTCTTTCTTCTCCTCCTTTTTCTCTTCCGCTGGTTTGGCTTCTGCAGCAGGGGCATCACCTGACGCTGAAGTCATAGGGGCAGACCCAGTCCCAGCTGTAAAACAACTTCCTTATTAGGTCACAGAGAAACGCAACACTGTTAAGAGATTCTGACGAAACCGTTGAGTTTAAAACTAAAAACAGGCAAGAAAAAATTAGAAGATAATGAAAAAGAGTTTGTATCGTACAGAATAACTTTAACGGTTCACAGCATCGCATGACAAAAAATAATCGCAAAAAAATACAGAAAATTTTATGCAAATAAACGTATTTTTTAAGCCCCACACAAGTATCTCAACAAAGCATCAGTTTCAAATTCAAGCAAAGACAATTTTGCCATGCAGTCAAATATTTCAACCCGTCTGACTCGTACTGTAGTTTAACTACAAAACAAAAAAATTAACCCCTCACACAATGTATAGAAACTTCTAGCAAAGAAGGAAATTAAGAGCAATGTTACACAAAAAAACAAATGTTCCACAAACCTGGGGAAGCTGAAACTGAACAAAGGTTGGCAATGCCCTGCTGAATAAGTTCGTCTAAAGATTTATGACTGAGCTTATTAACAACCGTTTGTGCCATTTCCTTGTCACAATCAATGCCAACGGAACCAAGAATATTCTCAATATCATGAACAGAAATAACATGTTCATGGTGACCGTGTCCTTTAGAAGCACCCATTGCAGCTAACATATAAGCCGAGACGTACCTCATTTTTAAATTTACCTTTAAAAACAAAAAAAATTCCTGACCATATAAACGAGCAAACAACGAATAAAAGTGACGAAAAAGTTGCTCAAAATTAAGAAATAGAAACGTAATATATATGTCAGCAAACAAATCCCTCAGATTAGTATCAAAACAACAAATTTAAATGAGAAGAAAACCTAACGAATTTGCCAACCAGTCATATAGTCTGAAAAGTCGAACAAAAAAATAAACAGTCAAAACCCTTATGAGTTAAAACAGACTCAAAAATGCATGGCAAGAAATAAAGAATACAAAAAACAAACTTGTCTTCTGTAATATCTCGTCCCTCGATAAGCAGAAGCTACGTACATCCTAAACAACCAAACCAAGCAAAAAAAAAAAACTTATTATGATTTGAAAATGAAAGTTAAGCCAAAGAATTCTACTAAACCGTAAGCCTTTAATGCATCCAGAAAACCCACGTAGTTGCAGGTTAGAAGCCTAAGTCAATTTTAAGTGAACGCTAAAACACAAGCATTTCAAACGTTATGGCTTCCTAAAACCGTGCACAACAAAAAGTATTCTGGCCGACATCCAAAAATAATGTCATTCGGTTACTTCTGCAGCTCCATATCTTCTTAGCAATAATTGCAGTGTTGGTTGACAATTTGCCATTGGTCTGATTTTTGTAAGCTGATGACTGTGGTTAACACTCAAAACGTGTTGAGCAGTTAGCATATTCCCAGCCATAGACTAGGCCAAAAAGTGTATTGACAAATAAAGCCGGTCAAGTTGGCAGTGTTCTCCAACAATCTTGGGCCACAGTCTGGAGGAGGATGGATTTTTGGATTTAAATCAATATAATTTTATTGGCTGGAGTAAAGCATCAGACAGATACATACGCAAATACACAAACAAACACACATAGAAACATACTAAAAAGGGTGGTTTTTTCTCCTTTAAGCTGTACAGCTGAAGATAAAGTATTATAGTTGGTGTTTAAATTAGCGAAAAGAAAAAACTTTTAGGAACACTGTTAAAGAAAAACATTGAAAAAGGTTCTTGAAAGTCGACAATAGTGGTTTTCTTTTTTTGTCACACATCATTCCAATTTCTTTTCAAAAGGCGTTTTCAGAAAAGCCTCACAGTTTTGCCTAACTTCTGTAGGCCTGTATTGCTGCGTATCGAACACCAAGGGCTAATTACTGCCGTCAGATCACTCTTTTCATCTGATCTTCAGATTTTTCTTAAGCTGTGAAAAATCATGTAATCAGACCTCGATTTCACAAAAAAAACTTCGCTTGAAGGGAGACTAAAGTTACTGGCAGTTGTAGCTGAGAGACAAAAGCAACTGAGATGTTAAAGCTTCTTGTGCTAAAAGTTCTCTACAGTTTCAGTAATCGAATATTAAAATTTGTATATTGAGTCTATAAATAAACTTCGTTTAAAATACACCTTATTTTTTACGCAGATTAAGCCAAAATGCTTTAATAAACTAGCTTTTTTTGCATTTTTTGTTACTGGATACACTATATCGCTTAATAGTTTAGTAACCGAGATAAAATGTAGTTAGCCGTAAAATATCTTGTTTTGGGTTACACATCTGCAGAATATCTCAATTGTACATTCATTTCCTCTACTTATAAACACTTAAAGAAAGCATTTAGCCAGACAAAAATTTAGAGTACCTATAAAAAACTTCTTGCTGTGATTCACCGTTTTTAGTGAACATTAGTAATCATTTTCGCCTCCTGGTTAGTCATTTACTGGAACATTACATATTTTCAATTAATGTTTTCTTGTGCGGTTCAGAGGCTGTAAATTTGAGTTAAAATGCGAAATATGTTACCTATGTCAACAAAAAGCGATTGGCTTACAATATCTCTCAGACCTAAGAAATACGGATACAGTCCAGAACAACTTCGATTTAAGCCGTTGAACCAAATTAAGAATAGCCCGTTCTGCAGGAGCTTTGTTACCACTGATTAATTGGCTAGTGTAATTTATGTAAGTTAATAACAACAAGTGGACCGAAAACAGTCGTTTTCTTTATTGGATTTTGTCGAGGAATCTTGTCCTGAGTTCATCTAAACAACAGGTTTTGAAGACATGCTCTAGTTCCATGCAAAGGGTAATGTCGTTTACTATTCTATCATCAAAGAACTCTAATTTCTTAATTAAACAAGTAAATGGCGAAAGAATTTGGTTTATCTTTAACATAGTATTAGTGGTTTGAACACTTGATCTACTATCATTAGGCAAGCGATCACTTGAAGCAAGCAGAGCATATCGGCTTGAAGGTTCCATAGCTACGTTTAGTCATAATGTATGACACACAAAGAGCGGTTCTACAGGCACGCGGCAAAGTTATCAAAAAAAAAATTACTTCTCGGAAACTAGCGGTCTGTTTTATGCATCACTATCTGCTAAGTGTACCTCTTCAGGGTGCTTTTTTAGGGTCTCGCCTTTTTTAGCTGTTCGGAGATTGTTTCAGCGGGGAATGGTGCGAGAATTGGAACAGATGAATCCTTATTAACAGCTTACTTTTGATTTAGCTGTACAAGAGAAAAGACGAGAATTTTACTAACTAATCAATCGGAAGAAGTTTAGATAACATAGCAGACCAAAAATCTACAAATAATGAAGGTATAAACTGCTGGCTTAGGGCAGTATTTTAAAACGGTCCTCACCGTCAAATGGGCTTCGACAGTGCAAAGGAATCCTGCTTCAAGGAAGTGTACTGGTCAAGTCTACCAGATTATTCTGATGGTTTGCAAACAAATTGTTTTGAAGTTTACAAAAAGACTACCGTTTTTTCAATGTGCTTAAAAAATCTTGCTTTGAGAACTAGAGAATAGTATCATTTAGTCCAGTTAAAAAGTTTTATACTATTTTACCTTTTAGAAATGAAACTAGTTCTAATTATAAATTTATTCGTCACAACAGTACTTATTTTTACTAAAAAAAAAGTTCTG